CGCGCCTCGCTCAGCCAGTGAGCGGGAACCGGTCTGTATGTGGGATCCGAACCCTCGGGCGGGAGCACCGCCGTGCTTCCCAAGCGGCGCACTATCCAGTGCACCACCGGGCCGGCCCTACAAATAACCTTTTGACACACACAAAATATGTAGAATAAGGCACACATATACTGGATAACTCTCTACTAGCATATGATATTAATAATTCACACCATGAGAATCCTGAAGATCTACTCACGAATGTGGTTAAGATTCTCAGTGTGGTCTGGGTGTGGCCTTGGGAAGAAACTCCTGAGAAGTGGTGGAGTGAAGCCAAATCACCTGGGGTCAAATGCTACTCTGCCACTTCCTAGCTAGGTGACACTGCTCAAAGTATTTAACCTCTCTGTGCCTCAGTTTCCTCAACTGCAAAATGGAAATAACAGTTCCTACCTCAAAGGGTGGTTGTGCATATTAAATGAGTTAACATTGGTACAATGCTTAGACCCGTGCCTAACACATTGCTAACATTTACTGAGGACTTATGAATATTATGGTAAAACTGGTGACAGTGTAGCTAAAGATGAATAATTTAAGTCAGATGAATTAGTTCCATTCTGCAGACAGCAACTTCTTTCCTAATGCACGCATCTGTCTTAATAACATCGTCATGAAATCGCTGTAGATGGATGGCCATGTTGAGATATTTTTAAATCTAAGGCTTTTCTACAGGGCTCATAATCACCATAGCCATATTCATGCAACTCCAAGAGTAGCAAAGTCTACATGAAGAGCTGCTTATCAGTGGAATGTATTTATAAAATGGGGGTTGGGTAGAGAGATAGCAAAGACAGCTAAAAATAGTCCTATAAGCAAACAAGTTTGCACAAGTCAATAGTTTATTAAAAAGTCAATACTTGTACATCATTGTTATGAGAAATATTCAAGTAATGTGTTACGTAATTTGGGAGAATGTGGCCTCCTGTCATCTAAGAGTTAGCCGTACACTCAGTCCTTTTTTCTTTTTCAGATTCTAACACAGAAAGTATCCAGGTCTTTCTATGAGGCTGTACTTAAGGGTCCAAAAAGGCACAAGTGTTTTGTATAAAGCTGCCAAGTGCTAGCCACGTTAGGTATGTACCTAATAAGTATCCAAGAGTTTCCTCAATGAAAGCCATCTCAACTAAATCATGCCATCAAAGCCATTGGATACCAAAAAGACATTTTCATCTGCTCTTCCTTGTAATTGCCAAACAAATATAACAGGATGTGAATTTACACTCCTCTCCCAATTCCAAGAGGGACCAAAAATATTTTTAAAAAGACAAATCTTAAGGGTGTGAAAATCTCACTCCATAATCTTGCTGTGTGTCTGTTACCTTTTTCTGGATGTACATTATCAAGTAGGCTGGCTGATGCTCAAGAAAGCCAAAGAGTGATAAGATGTAACCCCTTCTTTGCTCTAGAGCAGTAATGTCTAATAGAAATATAATGTAAACCCCGAAAGTGACCCATGAGTAATTTTAAATTTTCTAGGAGCCACACTTGAGGGTGAAAATAAACAGGTGAAGTTAATTTTAGCAATATATTTTATTTAACTCATTATGTCCTGAATGCTACCTTTCAATACGTAATGAAAATAAAAATTGTTAATACGATATGTTACTTTCTTTCTTTCACTCTAAGTCTTCAAATGCCATGTGTATTTTATACGTACAGCACATCGCAATTCTGACTAGCCGCATTTCAAGAGTTACAGAGCTACACGTGGCTACTGTCTGCGGTGCTGGACAGAGTAGCTCTTAGAGGTCAAGAGTGGCTGAAATGATCAATTTCTTAAGTTGCCTCTATGACGGACATACAGGTGAAACAGATCAATTCACTCTTGGCAAGCTTCTAGCTGGGCAATTTGGTAGTATCTTGAACAGAAGAATACACTTCATTTCACACTAGGGTATTGGACATTCATAGCTTTTATAACTTAAAAAGCTAAAATTCTGGGAGCTTTTATTTATAAAAGCTACAAACGCCAAGCACAAGCAATGTTATTTACTCTTTACCCAGCAAACCTAGTCACCATTGCACAAGTATTTGCTGTTTTCATCTTCATTGTATGTAAGAATCCAGGAAATTCTGGTCACTTGACAAACCCCTTCTCAAGGAGGATGTATTCTTTCCCTTTTCCCAGAGGAGGAGGAAATGGTAAGACATAACCCACTGACACATCCCATGCTCCTACCACATCCCATCCCACGTGGCCCATGCGTAAGCCACAGTCATGAGAAATGAAATGTAGAAATGGCCAGTTTGCATTATGCTGCAGCCATGGGTGAGACAGTATGAAAGATGACCTGGTCTTACCAGTATTACCTACCTCACCGGCTTACTGTGATGACCAAGGGCAAAAAGAGAGAGAGCTCTTAGCAAATGTAACGCGCTATACAATTCTAGATATTATTATTATTACTGAGAAAGGACACCATTCCTCACCTGAAAGAGTAGACAGAAGAAAAAAAGAAGTAACTTGAAACAGAGACATTGGGGGGGGGGGGGGGGGGGGGGGGGGGGGGGGGGGGGGGGGGGGGGGGGGGGGGGGGGGGGGGGGGGGCCCCGGAGGAGAAACCCATGAAAATCCATAGGTTGTTCTCCTTGGACTTTGTTCTCTTGGAAGAGTACAAGGAGAGCTGGTAGCCTCTAAAAATTTGGGGGAGGCACTAAAAAGTAGGCGAGGCAGCCAGGAGGCACCAGCTTCCACCGTGCTCCACCGCCCATCACCACCCCACCCGCTGCTTCTCATCCCAAATTCTGCATAACTCAAGACACTGGTTCAAAACAGATTTCTCCTTCCCGGTGCTTAAATGTGGCCTAAAAATGCTGCGCCACTGGGGGTACTGGCGCCTTCCCGGGGCGTGCAGGCTGCAAGCTCCGGAGTTGGCTCTTGAGCCGCCCTCTCGCCCTCTCCAAAAAAAACAGGCTCGGCCGGCCGCCGGAGTCTCCCTTCACCTGCCCAACCGCCCCGTCATGCCTGGGGATGGCTCTGGGCAGGCTGCAATTTACGAGGTCCGGCGGGAGTCACCCACACAAAGGCGCCTTGTGCCTCTGCGCTCGGGGACAGGCAGCCAGGTCGCCGGGCACCGCACCCGGGGAGGGCGGGGAGGGCGCCCCGAGTCCCGAGATCGGCATCCCCAGCCCTCACCCTCCACAGAAAGGCCACCCCTACCCCTGGCTTAAAGATGGGGCTCCCCTTGGCTTGTCACAACCCGCACCCCGGAGCGGAACAACCCGGAGCCAGCACGAGAGAGAGGGGCGCACAGGCCACTGGGCAGAAGTTTGCATTGTCACCGCGCTGCGTTCTCGCTGCTTCTCGCCTGCAGGAGTGTCCGGGCACCCCCGACCCTATCTTCCCGGGGCTGGAGGACTCCGGGCTCCCCAAGGCCCGCTCACCTCTAGTCCAGTCCACCACTTGTTTGGGGCTCCACTTGGTCACGGGTTCCATGGTAGGTAGCTTCGCTCCCCGCTGGGCTAGAGTCGGAGGTAGAGCCGCTGCCTGCGCCCCGGTGCCCCTTTCCGGGAGGGCACGCCCCGCGGCTCGTCCCCTGCGCGCCGGAGCGTCCGCGTCAAGGCTGCATGGCCGCGGTCAGCGGGTCAT